ATGACACTAAAAGCCCAGGCAACAAAAGAAAAAACAGACATATAAGATGTTATAAAAATTTCAAACTTCCAATCATCAAAGGATTTTATCAACAGAGTAAAAAAGCAACCTGTAGTATGGGAGAAAATATTTGCAAACTATATATCTGTTGAGGCTTTAATATCCAGAATATATGCCAAACTTCTACAACTCAACAAAAATCCAATTAAAAATGCACAACAAAAGACTAACAGACATTTCTACAAAGAAGATATAAAAATGAACAATAAACAAGAAGAGATGCTCAGTTCCATTAATTAGGGAAATACAAACCAAAACCATATAAAATAGTATCTCACAACCAGTAGGTCTCTTCCTTTTTGTCTATTTAAAAATCACAGAAAACTGTAAAAGTTGGCGAGAAAGTAAAATTGGATCCCTACTGCAAATCTCTTAAATATAATTCTTAATAGATTAAAGATTTAGTTTAAAATGAAGCCATAGAAATATTAGAAAAGACCTTAGGATAGACACAGATCTTTGAAACCAAACACAAAAAGGGCTAAACATAAAGAAAAAAAGGATAAATCTGATTTAATTAAAATTAAGAATTTTTGTTTATTACAAGAAATCATTGAGAGTAAAAGAGCAAGGTAGAGTGGAAGATTATATATATCCAGAATAATGCAAGACACAAAAATAAAGCCATCAAAAACCTCTTTAGAAAACAGGCAAGATGGGACCAGGGATGTAGTTCAGTGGTGTCATGCCTGCCTGGCAAGTGTAAGGTCCCAAGTTTGACTCCCAGTACCAGGGGGGGAAAATAGGCAAGAAACTGAAACAGACACATTGCAAGATATGATATACAAGGATCCAAGAAGTAAATGCAAAGGAACAAGAAGAAAGAGGGGAGAGGAGGAAGGAAAGAGGGGTGAGGGGAGGGACAGAGAGATAAAGATAGAAATAGAGGGAGAGGGAGAGAGAAAGGCCACCATGCAGTCACAAGAATGTGGACACAAGAATGCTAAAAAAATGCTGGGAACATAAAATGATAAAAACAGGCTGGGCTGTTACTAAACTAACCATTGGCCTATCAAAGTTCATATAGAGTTAAGTCATAAACCTACCTAAAGTCACATAACAAAGTAAAGTAAATAATCTCCATCTGATGTCAGAACCTTTTTTTTTTTGTACAGTTACCCTAATCTTTCTAACATGAGTCCAGATCATTTACAAACACACCAATGCCATAAATGAACTTTATATCTTCTATTGAGTTCATTGCTATTTGCATTTGTTTCAAATGGAAGACTTGCCGGGCATGATGATGCAGACCTGTAATCTCAGCACTCAGGAGGCTGAAGAAAGAAGACCACGGTAAGTTTGAGGCTAACCTATGCTCCATAGTGAGTTCAAGACCATCCTGGACGATATAGCAAGACCCTGTCTCAAAACAAACAAACAAACAAAAAACAAAAATGAAAGACAGACAGAATGACTTGATGACAAAGCTTTTGGTTAACTTTGGGAAAAGCCCTTAGTTGACTATTGGGGTTGACTGAACCTTAATAGAAGTCCAGAAGTGAAACATTAAATTATAACCAGAAAAAGCACCAAAATGTTAGAAATTATATTCTGCTTTCCAGTTCAATAAAATTCTTCCCCAAATATAACAAAATTGTTTTCTATTAAACTGGTTGTCTTGTCAATGTTTCTCTTGGTTGAAATCCTCAAGTGTTCAGGAGGCCTTTACTTCCTGACAATAGTCAAACTTCAAAGCCATGATCTTTGCTTATTATTTTTTTTAATCATTTGTTTACCATCATACGCCTACCAAATCTCAGGTTTGTGAGCCACCTAAGACTGCAGGTATTTTATTTCTTATAATTCTCATCTGAAATGTTTTCCAGTAATTAACCATAGGTCTTTATTCTAGAAAATGCTTTTTGTTCTTGTTTCATATGAGGATCTAATAATGCTGCATCAATAGACTAAAATTTATAATCCTTGCAGTTAAAACATTTTAAAAGCTTTCCAAATCACCTTTTGGGCAATGTTAAATTGATGCTTACACTGCCACACCATAGGTGCCCAGTCATCAGAAGCACCAAAGCATTCCTCTCAGTTACTATTGCCATGCTGATGTGTTAATAGGTCTTACTAGTATTTTATAGGAGCTTAAAGGACATGCATGCATGGAATGTCCCATCAAAAAGCAGCAGTTTAGAAATCATAGAAGCGAATTTGTGTGATTTAAACAACATTTATCCTTGAGGTCCCTCAACTAATTAGGAATCCTTTTTAAACACTGAAACATTTCCGACAGTACCTAAAAAAAGTACTGAAATTTCAGTAAAAAGCCTGAATATTTCAAACATTTTGCGAGAACAAAGTGAAACAAAGAAATCTCCCCAGATGTCAACCTTTTCCCACAGATCAAGAGACTTGGGCATGGACAGGAGCACAGAGGAGTGTACTTCTGAGCTCTGAATCTGCAGGAGAGCTTTTCTCTTGCTTGATTAAAGAAGGAAAAAGGACATGAATTAAAGCAATCTGGCCAAATAAGAGAACAGGTTAGTAATGACTTTTTTCTCCTCCTTAAGAAATTTTATAATGATTCCACACATGTGGGAATGCATAAGCTTCTTCAGTACAATTTCATTTCAGACTGTGAAAGTGCGAAGTTCTTCCATATGAATGGACAGCGAAGACTTAGCATCTTCAATGTATTCAGACAATTCACAATTTAAGTATTTAATAATCTGCATATTATATTATGCACATGATATTGCTTTTTATCAAAGTTTGGTTCGTATTTGCTATATATCCTACTGCTCATATTTATTAAAAGAGTTCCTATGACCCAATTTCCTTGGTTCAAAAAAAAAAAATTTTTTTTTTTTTTTGGTACCAGGGATCAAAATCGGGTCCTTGCCCTTGCAAGGCAGGAAGCAGAACCACTGAGCTAAATCCCTAGCCACTGCTTCTAATTTTTAAAAATGTTCTGAGGTATAAGTGTCTTGCATTTCTCTATGCTTCTGAGACTACTCTGCCTCACTTGAGAGCCCTGCATTTTTGTCTCTAAAACTGAGTTTGAGAGTTTACCACCATCAAAATTATGAGGATGGAGTGGGATAGAAAAGTCTAAGTGAAGGCAACAGGTATTTGGCCCTAGAATGGGGCAGCAGTAGCAAGGGTTACCTCAGAACCCACCTGGCTCTACCTTTGGCCACTTTAAAGAAATTTCCAGCTGGACTACTTCTAGTGTTTGAGCAGGAACACTAGAAGGAACATTCACTTTTCCTGTCTCTAAGACAATGCCCAATACCCAGGTTTAATTTTTTTTTTTTTTTGTACCTGGGATCGAACTCAGGTCCTTGCGCTTGTTAGGCCGGTGGCGGAATCACTGAGCTAAATCTCTGGCCCCAGGTTTAATTTTATTTGTGGCTTTAAGGGATTCAATTCATAGTCAGTTTCCAGGCAGATACCACACCGCAGAAGGGCATAGTGGAACGAAGATGCAAAGTTCACAGTGGCTGGGAAGCAGAGCAGAACCAGAGAGGAGCAGCCAGGGACCGTATATAGCACCAAAGGTCACACCCCCATGACTCATCCAGGTACACTTATTGTGCTTTGCTAATCCCCTAAGAGGCTCCCAAGCAAATCAAGTTGACACAATTAGGTGTAACCACCACAGTCCTTATTCATTCGTACTAATAGACATTAGATATGTTTTATAATGTCACATAAGAAAGAAGAGAAGATATTTCTTAGAAGTATCACTGAATTTATTATTCTCATTCTCTTTATCCTTCTCACAGTCAGCATATATTTCTAGCCTACTATAACTGACAAATTTCCTGCATGAGCCTCCTCATACTTCCCTGGAATTCTATTTGGCCACAAGGTAATTTGGTCACCTTTTTTAATAGACAGGTAGAAGAGTAAATGCCAACAATTCATAAGAGTCACCAGATAATGGTTAAAAACAAACACTAGTTTCCACCTCTAACCTACTTTAGAATCCATAAAAATATAGGATTCTTTACTTTTAAAAGAATTCCAACTGTTATTCTGATTAGGTAACTTTGAGATGGACTAAGAAAATCATAGTACTTCTTCTTATATATATATATATATATCATATAGTTCATCATCTAATCAGAACATTTTGAAAGTCAGAGCAGGACTATTAAAAAGCCACTGGTCCACCTGGAAAAAATCAGAGACAATTTTGGGCAATCAGAATATATGATCACCTGCCAGGTGTGGTGGTGCATGCCTGAAATCCCAGCACTCGGGAAGCTGAGGCAGGAGGACTGCTGTGAGTTCAAGACCAGCCTGGGCTACATAGTGAGTTCCAGGTCAGTCTCAACTACATAGTGAGACCCTGTCTCAATACCCCCCAAAAAAGAAATGTATGATCAGTCTACTTATAGATCATAATCTTTCTCTTGATTTACGTCCTTTATTTTTACAATGGCTTTGAGATTAAATTTTCACACATCCTTTTCAATGCATCCTTTTCAAATGTCCAAAGCAATATTTCTAGTATATTCAGAGTTTTGCAACTACCACAAAAATCTAGAACATCTCTACCTTACCAAAAGAAAAATACCTTTAGCACCCATCCCAGCTCTTGATCCCCCTCCCCTGAAGCTCTATGTAACCATAGATTATTTTTACTTTATGGATTTGGCTATTCTTGAAATTTCCTATAAATGGAACCATTTAATAAAAGTGGTCTTTTATAACTGCTTCCTTTTATTTAGCACATTTTCCAAGTTCAGCCATGTTGTAATGTGTCAGTACTTCATTTGTTTTTATTGCTGAATACTATTTATTGTAAATATATATTACATTATATTTATCCATTCATCAATTGATAAAAATTTGAATCATTTCCATTTTTTTGGCAATTATGGATAATGCTGCTAAGAACATTTGTGTAAAAATTGGGTAGACATATTTTCATTCTTACTTACATCTTACTCCATGTCACCACTATGCAAAGTTCTTACTTTGGAGGACTCTAAACAATGGTTTTTCACAAGCCGTGTAGAGGAGTGAGAAATCAGTACAAAGGACCTGAAAGGTAGAACATTATATTACTTAGATTATTTAAAATAGCTATTTTTGTCTTTCAAAGACATTTATGCTCTTTCTAGCAATGACCTAAATACTTGCTCAGAAATTAGATGAGAAAAAGACATAGGTAGGGAAGGAACCAACCTTAAGGATCAGCAGAAATTCCTTCCGGGCTACCAAAGGTCCTTGCTTCAGAGCTTAAAGTTATTTATCTAAGAGCAGAAGAACTAATATATCAAAGCTAATATAACACTTGCAAAAAGCTCCTGGGTCTTAGTTCTTTGATCAAATATTTGCATTCTGTGTCTTGAATTAACAGTTTTAATTTCTAGTGTTAATAGTTTACTCAATGATGACTTCTTTAATTTGGTCTTTTTCTTTAAAATGTATGACATGCACAGGCTGCTTTCAAGAAAGGTGTTTAACCTTATGAAGACCTACACATAATGTAATGGTCTTACATGAGAAAACGTATAGTAAAGTTAGGTGTGTTAAAGTAAAATCAATACCTACAGAAGAGAAAATTAGAAAGGAAATTGCCGATTTTCCTACCTTCCTTTTCCTGTTCACTACACTATGCATTTTGGAACTCTTAGGAATCATTACGTTACAAAAGTTTCCAGGTTTTCTATTCTAATGGGTTCCAGGTTTTCCTCTTAGGGAGATGAAACTAACAGACTTAGTAAATCCTTATTTATTTGCCCCCAAAGCCAGGCAGTATTCTTTCTTTGGTTCTGCTTTCTATTCATTTGCTACCTCTTCTCAGATTCCTTTGCTGGCCATCATTAATCTTTCAAGCTACAGCTGGGTGGGTTCAGAACAAAACCATCAGAGGAAGTGAAAAATGAAGTATTTACCTGCACCAATGTGGGGGAAAAAAAAAGACCTATCAACTTTATCCTTTCAATGCAATCACATTTATTTTAGTCTATTCACTTTCTAGATAAAAGAAAGGATGCATATATACACTTGCATATATTTACCCTGCACACACACACACACACACACACACATATATTTGTCCTCATTTGTAATGAGGTGTAATATATAGAGCTCAGTTTGTTACCATGGAGACACTGGTCCTCTGTTTCTTATCACAGAGCCACACTATCGCCTGGTGTCAGCCAAGGAGGGATGACAAAGGCCTCCCCAAGAGCCTAGCTCTGCAATTACTGAGCAATCAAGCGCCTCTTTTGATAGAGCACATCTAGGTATTCATGGCTCCTCACTCAACACTGTCTTCTTCCTTTTTAAACTTATAAATAGCAGGCTGCAGTAACCAAGAATAGATATCTTCCCCTGTTGGATTTCCTGTTTACTCAGGATTTTAGTGATATTGTTTGGTTTATACCAGAGAGCTCATTAGCTACCATCCTCTTTATTTTTGCATCTGCCATTTTAAGATTTAGCAATCACTTTCATCTGAGGATAATGATATTCCTTTTATGTATTAATTTGTTATGATTTGTCATTAACTGGCCACATGAAGAAGTGAATAAATAAAAATCATAGTCTCTAAGTTTCCTCTTAGTTCCAAGTTTCCCTTAATTTCTCTAAACAAATCACTAAAGCTATCAACAGAAGGGAGGAAAAAGAATGACTAGCATTCATTCCTAGTCACCTGGTGGTGATATAACCAAGAATCTATATGACTACAATACACATAATAAACAAAAGGTCTAATTTTTCTTTAAGATTTTTATTTTAAGGGCTGATCTCATGATTTCCAAATTTGCCTGGATGCTCAGACTGAGACATTCAAACTCTGGGCAATTTGGGGTAAAATGGAGTATGGATTGAAGCATTTAGATTACCCTGGATCTATTATCAATATGTTTATTTTTCTTTATTTATTTTTGTATATTATTTGACCTTTTAAAAAATGTTATCGGTACATTTTAGGTATATAATGGCATGCATCATTGGAAATTTGTATGTTTACATGATATATCTTGGTTTGTATTTTTTCCCCATTCCCCTGCCCTCCCATCAACCGCTCCACCCCTCCCTATTTACAAAGACTTTATTTCCACTTTTTTTCCTTTTTTCATATTAATTCCATTCCCTTCTTTCCTTTCCCCAATCCCTCCCTGTTTCTTTAAGAGTATCAGCTGTCTCAAACTTGGCCTTGTGCAGGTTCTATAGTGTTACAAAATACATAGTTGTCTCTGTTTTAGCTTAAAATGACCGTAATCACCAAGGAATAAGGGTCGCTTATGTGTTTAAAATCATGATTATGGTTGGTATTGGAAGAGATGGAAACAGTGAGATACTAAGACTGTATAAGACACAATCACTGCTCAGAATAAACTTAAGCTCTACCTGGGGAAATAACCTTTAAACTTAAGTACCACGCTCAATAATAATATGAATTAGAAGGCAGAAAGTACACACAAACATACGTGTTCCTTCAGAACAATGAGTCAAGTCCAGTGGAAGCAAGCCTGGCCACGTGTAGCTGACCGCTGGCCTTGTTCAGGGATATAGACCCGCTGCTTCGTTCTCTCCAACCCGGGACAAATGAGGACGAAAGACAAAGAGACATGGAGCCAGTTTAACTTGCTGGCAGCCATGACGCTCGTACCTACAGGAGGCAAAGGAACCCAAACCTCCGCCTCACCTTGCTTTTATTCACCTAGACACAGGTACGAGCAATCAAAGTAACAGAAGATTCATCTGCTTTCTAATATCCATTTGTACATCCTCTGGTAAACAATTTAACCTCAGCTGTCTTAAATTTTCCCTAATATACAGTATGCAATCAACCCTAAGTACAACTTTTCTCCTTTGTGCTCACAGAGGAGGCCAATTAGGCCTTAATTCTCCTCTGGTCCTCCACAGTTCAGTTAGTGTTATAGTCTCCATGTGTCCCCCAAAGCTCATGTGTTGAAACTCAATCCCTAATATAAGAGTGCTGAGAGGTGGAACCTTTAAGAGGTGACTGGGTTACCTTGTAGGTGAATGGATTAATACTTTTATCCATGAAGCAGGTTAGATATGATTGGAGTGAATTCCTGATTAAAGTATGGGTTCAGCTCCTCCTCTACCACCACCCTCACCCTCTCTTGCCCTTCCAGTAGAAGGTGGTACAGAGAAGGCCCTCACCAATATAGCCCCTCAGTCTTGAAATTTACAGCCTGTAGAACAGTAAGCCAAATGAACTTCCATTGTTTTAAAATTATCCAGTCTGTGGTATTATTATGGCAGCATAAAATGGACAAAGACAGTTAATAAGACTTAGCGGAAAAGACGAGATTCGTCTTAAATAGAAAAAAAGAGAAAAAAGCATTCTAGGCAAGGAAAATACCAGGAGCTAAACTGCAGTAATGGGAGCAATCATGGTCCTCCTCTCAGATCAAGCCCTGAAATGCTTCCCTCTTTCTCTTACTAGAGAAAAAGAGAGGCGAGAAGAAAGAAGAAAGGGGGAGAGGTAGGGAGAACATTATATTCAAAATGATACAATTAAAAAATGAAAATCAGAGATTGCTTATTTTTTGCAGTTGGAGAACATAGTGTTTAACAGTCAGAATATGGACACCTCCCATGTTAAATGAACCCTGTTTGTCAGGAAAGTCATTAATGAGATAAAAATGAATGACCGAAGACCTGGAAAGCTTGGTACAGATACACAACCCTGGACTTTGTCAGGAGCTTGATGGGAGCCTGATTACTATGTTTTTGATCATCAATTCCTGTCATTTTTGCTACCAAAAGATGTTCTCATAAATATATAGTATCTTGCTGGGCATGGAGGTGCATGCCTATAATCCCAGCAGGAAGATCACAAGTTCAAGTCCAGCCTAGGAAATTTAGCAACTCAGTGAGATCAGTGCCTCCAAATTAAAAAAATAAATAAAAAGGACTATGGATAAATATACAGTATCTCTGAGCTAGGAACTGGGGAGATTCATTTGATGAGTGGCATGAGCTGAGAAGAAGTCAGCATAAAAGTTTATTTGGGTGGGTGAAAAAAGTGCGCAGCAAAGGTTTATTAGGAAGGGACTGGAGAGAATGAAAATCTTCATAATCACATAACAGTGATTACTCCAGTAAACACTGTCTATGTGCTAAGCGGTGTGCTCGACACATCATGTGCCTACTGTCACAGGATCCTACCAGATAAGTAGAAGAACCTCCACTTATTATAGAAGAAACTGAGGTACAAGAGAGGTTAAGTGGCCTTTCTAAATTCACAGGGTAACGGGTCGATATCTGATAAACATAACCTGAATCTATTATAACAAAGGCAGAATTTACTTAAAATATGTAATTATAGTATCTATCTCTTCAGCATTTTCCTTCTATTTCCTTTAGAAGGAATAAAAACAATATCTTCTTTGTAAATTTCTGTCAAGAAGGGATATAAAACTTAGAGAAGATTTCTGGACAAAGAGGAAGAAAGGTGACATGGTGGACACAGAGAAGACTTCTTAAGATAGTAGAGGAAAGTATTAAAAACAGTCAAGAAACCCTTTCATTAAAATGTGTCATCTTGTCTCTTTAGCTGTAGAGACTCATGTAAGATGGAGGAGGGGTATAAAAAGAAAAAAAGAAAACTTAAAAGTACAGAAATCTTAGCTGGGTGTAGCAGCACATGCCTGTAATGCCAGCACTATGTGAGGCTGAAGCAGGAGGATCACAATTTGAGACTGGCCTAGGTAATTTAGCAAGAATTTGTTCAGAATTAAAAATTAAATAGCCTGGGGATATGGATCAGTGGGAAGGCCCTGGGTTCAACCCCCTAGTAGCACACACACACACAGCACACATAATTTAAAAAGTAAATAGACTTTAATGCTTTTTCATTCATTTGCCACTCAGTGGTAGTAAGATTACCAATCCCAGTGAGCTTTGCCTACTTCATGGTCTTCTTGACCATTCCCTGAATGCAGCCAACTATCCTCTGTCATAGGACCTTCACACTGCTGGTCTCCACCACCTAGGGTTTATGGCTGACTTCTCAACTTGAATCTCAGCTCAGATTTCACTTCTTCAGGCTG